TGATCTCTCCATGTTTCTGTGAAAATTAGTAAAGAGGTTTTTTCCCTTGAATTAAGCTAGTAGTCAAGCAGCTCATGTTCTACAAGCCATGTGCTGAATCAGATCTGAAGTTTCATTTATTTTGTCAAGTATCCCATTATCAAAAACTTAAAAATTCTCCTGAGGCAGCTCTTGAGCACTGCAGAACTCTGCAGGTCAGCAGAGCGCTGAGCAACCTCGGTGAAGTGTCCAGGTGATGAATTCCAGCCCTTGTTCCCAGATATTCCCAATCAGAGCCTGAGTGCACACTCCAGAAACGTGCACAGAATTCAAAACCGGCACAGGTTGCTTTGCTAAGAGAAAACATTTCATCTTTTAAGTCCTTTTCTGTGAAGAATAACACGGAGAAAAGGTCTTCAAGAGTTTTCCACTCACTTTGCTTTGGCTACTTGAAACTTCAGGACAACAATAATTGCCTGCTGCATGGGAGAAACCATCTGCTTGTTATCCTCCAGTTTCCTTTAAAATTTCCACTTTTGTCTGGCAGAAACTATTGTTGAAAAAGAGTGAAAATAAAGGAAAGTGACAGCCATTATCAGCCTAATCTCATGTCAAGCATTAAACAAGATTTTTCATACAACATCACAACATAAGGGGAATTCTCTTAGACAACTCCATGATCCACATTTAGCAGCAAATGTTATTTTCTCTTTACCTTTCCCTGAAGATTAAATAGCTTCACTTGTGAAGAAACAACTGAGCAATAACATCATTTTTTAAAAAAATAAATCAACCTTACTTTTAACTGCTTTGTAAAACATGGCAAAGGTTTTTACCTGGGAAAATTGTTCATTTCTGCTGGCAAACCTTTGCTTTGCCGTCATCACAGCCAATATTTCATTAACTGTGCTGATATCCTCTTATTTACAGCTTATTTTTCTCAGAAAAGGAGTTATTTCAGGAAAGAACATGAGTGAAAGTAATGTAAGAGACATCACAATAAATCTAATTTCCACATTTAACCCATTGCATCGTTGTGGGCTCGGGTTGTCCTGACATTTTTTTTTTTAAGGGCTACTGATGATTCTTTAAAGGATCCATCTGCTGTGATTGAAGCACACAAAACTTTCATCAGAGATCCTTGGGCTAGATAATCATTTCAAATTTGGAAGCTTCAGACAGTGAAGGGCAGCCCTGGCGTGGGGAGATGAGCAGGGATGATGGCAGGGCTGGATCAGAGGCTGCTGCTGAAGGAAAGGTCTGGCAGGGCAAAACCCTGACAAATCCAGCTTTGTGCTCAGGAACTCTCATCTTTTCTGGCCAAGAAAGGGAACGGGGTCCTGCTTATCCCTGGGCAGGGCACTGAGCAGTGGCCCAGAATGCAGAGCAGCACAGAGGCGTTTTCCTCTCAACACGCTCTGAAAGGATGAGGCTGCTGCAAAGAATTGCCAAATCTGGACCTGCTTTAACATGGTTTTCATGGGGTTTTAAATAATCATTATAAAGCACAGGGGGGTGTTTTCCTCAGTGAAAGCTGTCCTAGTTAGAGAGCAGGTTTGACCTGCAGCAGCTTGCCCAAGCTCTGGAGTTTGCACACAGAACCAGCACAAGTTCTCAACTCGAGATGCATCCCTAAAGCTTTCTGTTTCTCAGCTAAGTGAAACCCTGAAGCTCATCCCCAGAACCCACCTCCAGTAAATCACTCTGGAGATGAAAAGCTCCTCTGCAGTCAGAATCAGTCTGGGGGTGTCAAGTAAAACAAGCACAAAAATCACCCCTTGTCTCTGGAAACTTCTGGGAGCGTGAAAACTCCTAAGAAATACTCCGAAGGTAATTCTGGCAGCCAAACCCACAGAGGTTTCTTTACACCTGTTTGATCACCACAGCTATGAGAGCCTGAGTCATGCCAGGCTTTTGAAATACACATTTCCTCTCCCATCTGCAGGGAACAAAACAGGTCAGGGATTCTGGCCTGGAGGCGGAAAGAATAAAAGATGGGAAGGAGATACAATATTCTTGATGGGGGAGCAGAGAGGCAATGAACAATGCTGCCAGGGATGTTTTTCCTCCCATTCTCCCCTGGCCTCTGGCCCCGTGCTGTGGACTCAAACATGGCATGAGAGCACTTCCAGGAGGTGACAGCTGTGGGGACAGCAGCCAAGGACTTCTCTTGTTCACACGCAGGGGATGAACACACAACAGGTTTGGGGTTTGAGTCCAGGCAGCAGACAAGAACACAGCTGAAAGAGGACTCTGTGTGGAACAAAAGCACTGTCACAATGCCTGGAGAGCAGGCTGTGAGCAGGAACATTAGTCAGGGACTGCAGAGCCCGAGACAAGAGGTGAGGAGGGCGTTTCACTCACCCATTTAAGCAGATGATGACGCTTTCTGGACATTGCCAGAGCTGCAAGGAAACACTCAGATGTACCATGAGCTCCCTGACTCAGCCTAGCCCAGAGATCCCAGCCTCCACTGGGCCACTCCAGATGTGTTTTCCATCCTGGATCCCCACTGGCAGCAGCCCTGAGCACGCCCCTGAGCTGCAGGTGGGCAGAGCAGTGGACAAGGCAAAACTTGGGGCATACACACAGACATCTCCCATCCCCAACTCTCCAGCCTTCCCTTCACCAGGGTCTGATGGAAAGGGAACCCAAACCAAGCTATTATTTCATTTATACAGCACGGATTGGAGCAATGCTCTCCCTCAGTCGGGGACACTGAGGACAGGAATGTGTGGCAGCATTTTGGCAATTTTCCTCTCCTCAGGTGCAGAGCAGCATTGCCAGGACACAAATCCTCTGCAGCACTGGGGTGGATGTGAGAGCAACCTGCCTGCTTTGCACTGCAGCGATCCCAGTCACTCCCTGCAGGAACTGACAGCTGAGGAGCAGCAATTTATTGCATGAGAATACAAAATATTTTGTGACATTTCAAATCAGGGGGGTTTTCCAGTGCTGAGCAGAGAAATCCTTCTGAAAATAAGGGCTCACATGTTGCTGTCTTTTGTGAAGACACAGCTTCTTCCCTCTCAGCACAGGCCTCAGAGTCAGGGTGGGTTTGCTATCACACAGGAGGCTCTAGCCCACTATTTTTAGCACCTAATGGCAAAGCTGATAGTGCCATTAATTCACTTGGGTGTACAGCATCTGATTTCCACTTCAAATTGCGCCTCAGTGGAAATGGTGGCTTGTCCTGCTGTCACATACATTCAGAATTTCATTATACAACACATTTAATGACTTCCTATCCCGGCTGAGAGGTGGGGAACTCTGCAGTGGCTTCTGAAGCAGCGCGGCAGGAGCCATGGAGCATTCTGGAATAACACAGACACTGCTGAGGCTGCCCAGATGGGCACAACAGGCCTGGAATGTGAAGGGAACTCTTGGGAAGAGCTTTGGTTGTGGGTGCCTCAACCAGAAGTGGTTTCCAGCAGCAGGAAACCCGGAGCCAAGCCCAGGAGATGCTGCTCCGCAGGGTGAGCTGTGCCCTTGGATCCCATCCTCGCCCCGGGGGGACACAGCCTCCTCCTGCCTCTTCAGAAAGAGAAAACAGAGCTGGCAGGGAGCCCTACAAGATGGGCTCCTGAGAAACAATATTTCCAAGGGCATTTACAGCCATTCTGCCCAGAAATCACTCCGTGGGCCCCAAGGAGCTGGCAGGACACACCGGGGCTCCTGCACGGAGCAGAGGGTGATGCTCCAGGCTGAATCCAGACCTGCCACACTCGGCTGCAGGGAACAGCTGCTCCCCACCACGGGACCAGGGCCATGGCAGAGACACTTTCCTGCTTTAAGATATCTCTTCTTATACATCACTGCAAATTTAGGGAGAGACTAAGATCTTTAGAACATTACCTGTGCAGCTTGGTGGGCAAATCCCCAGCTATTTATTCACTTAAAACTCCAGCACTGGATACTGTCCTTGTAAAACTGTTACCTGGAGGTTAAATCTGAGAAGTGTCGCCTCTTGGTATTGGAATTATGGGTGCAAGACAAGAATTCTGCAGGCTCAGAGTGAACGTGGGAGGGATTTGTGACTTTTTTAAGCTAACAAACCTGCAACAGAAGCCCCAGACATTAATATAAGTGACATGCACTTGATTTCAAAGTATTTCTGCAAAAATAAAATGAGGTGGAAAGAGTTCAGACATCCGCAAGCGCTTTTAAAAAATCAAACTATGAAAATTGCACCAAAGAAATATAGAAGGAATGAAGTGCAAGGAAAATCTACCTTACGCTTGCGTGCTGATGTGTGATAAATGAAAATCTCCTCAATCCTGCAGAGGTTTAAATGGGTACAATCCCACTTAAGACCAGTCCCAGAGGCTACTCCGAGGTGTAGGGAGGGTGTAGGAGCACCGTGTCTGCCCCAAACCCTCCCACGGGCAGGACCCGGCTGCCCGGAGCAGGCAGGAAGTTTTCCCCGCTGAAAATCCGATTTTCCAGGATTTCACGGCGGCGAATCCATGGTGCTGGGTATCTGCAGAGGGCGCCAGAAGTTTGGGATGTGCCGGGATGCCGCTCCAGGTGCTCCAGCTGTCACTCAGCAAGGTGATCGCTCTCCAATGGCCAATGCTCTGCTCGCAGGGCGAAGTAGGAGTTGGTTTTTCTTTCTTGCATGTATAAATCCCTTCGTTCTCGTCTCCTTTCTTGCCACTGAAATAGCAACAGATGTTTGGCTGAGCTGCAACATGCTGGCAAGCAAGCTGCCCCTGCAGACGGGAGAACTCCGTGCTTTTGATCGCCGGGAGAGCTGAGCCCAGCGATGTCCTGCTGCCGATTCCTCCCTGCAGGGAAAACTGATCGCTGCCTTCGGGCTCTGGAGCTCACTTGCTTCTAAAGGAAAGAGCAGCCTGGCATAAAACTCACTGTAAATGCAGATTGTTTGATGTTTGCGCTTGTAAAAGTGACTAAAGCCCTGCTGGATTCCACCCCATATGCACAGCAGCAGCTTGGAAGGACTCGTTTACATTTTCCTTTTTCCTTTTTTTTTTTCCTCTCTTTTTAAGCTGTGCTCTCTCAGGTCTGGTCACCGGTGAGCTCAGCTCCTCTGCTGACAATGAACACCACACACTTTGCATTCTCATTTCAGCCCGTGCCGCTCAACGCCACCCAAGACTTCAACGACTCCGTCCCGAACAACAGGAGCGGCGACGGATTTTGCGAGCAGGTCTTCATCAAAGCCGAGGTCTTCTTGACTCTGGGGATCATCAGCCTGCTGGAGAACATCCTTGTCATTCTGGCAGTGCTGAAGAACGGCAACCTGCACTCTCCCATGTATTTCTTCCTCTGCAGCCTGGCTGTGGCAGATATGTTGGTGAGCATGTCGAACGCCCTGGAGACCGTCATGATCGCAATCCTCAGCAACGGCTACCTGATCATTGGCGACCACTTCATCCAGCACATGGACAATGTTTTTGACTCAATGATTTGTATTTCTCTGGTAGCCTCCATTTGCAACCTCCTGGTCATAGCCATCGACAGGTACATCACTATTTTCTATGCCCTCCGTTACCACAGCATCATGACGGTGAAGAAAGCCCTGACCCTCATTGTGCTCATTTGGGTGGCTTGCATCATCTGTGGCATCATTTTCATTGCCTACTCGGAGAGCAAAACTGTCATTGTGTGTCTCATCACCATGTTCTTCACCATGCTGCTGCTCATGGCCTCGCTGTACGTGCACATGTTCCTGTTCGCCCGCCTGCACGTCAAGCGCATCGCGGCGCTGCCCGTCGAGGGCGTGCCCCCCCAGCGCACCTGCATGAAGGGGGCCGTCACCATCACCATCCTCCTGGGGGTCTTCATTGTCTGCTGGGCGCCCTTCTTCCTCCACCTCATCCTCATCATCTCCTGCCCCATGAACCCCTACTGCATCTGCTACACCGCTCACTTCAACACCTACCTGGTGCTGATCATGTGCAACTCCGTCATCGACCCGCTCATTTACGCCTTCAGGAGCCTGGAGATGAGGAAGACTTTCAAAGAAATTGTGTGTTGCTGCTATGACATGAGTGTGGGACAGTGCATGCTGTAAACACCTGGATTTGGGTGAAAAAAACACACCACAGGTGTATAAATATAAATATAAATATATTTATGTATATATTGAGATACAGAGCAGCTCACTTTAAACGCAGTGCCTGAAGGAAGGGTGCAGGAAAGACAAAAGCCTCCTACATGATGCCTTGTTTCTTACTTTTTAGAGTGAAAACTAGTTTCAACTGAATTATTTGAAGTTTTTTAAATAGTTATAATGGAAAGAAATCCAGAGTGGCTCACAAAACAAAACTTACTGGGGAAAATGAATCCTGAAAGGGAATGCCACCTTCTAGAGACTGAGATAATATTCCCTCTAGCATTCGTTTGTGCCTGTTGCTTTATCTCTGTGCCACTGCCAACAAATCGGTGTTTTCTGAAAGATTTCAATAGTAACCTCTGTGGAAAGCTATTTTTCCAAACACCAACAGGTAACAGCATTGCTCTTACACCTGTGTCTCCACCTTTTAATGAAAGAATAGATTGACATTTTTGCTGCTTGCCATAAAGCAATTTTTGTACAATTTTCAAAGGGTGAAACATTTCTCTTGCACTGAAATCAGTTATCACTACAGTGTCAGTGACAGTGTGGCTTCAACAGCTGCCTGATAGGATTGACTCATATCAAGGCTTTTACATTATTTATTGTGATATAAGAATACTATATCTTTGAATTTTTAATTATTTTTTTTTAAAGCTGGAATGTCCTGATCAATGTAGTGATTGCTGTGTTTGTAAAAACTCATAGGAGTCTCCATTTGCTAAATCCTAACTCATGAAATCCATGGATCTGAACATCAGAAAGAGCTAAAATGCAAAATACTTTGTGTGAAAGCTGCAGAGAGTCCTTAGAAATATCCACGTGTGAGTTCAGCAGCTGGAAGAAACCAAGTGTGTGTGGCAGAGAGGGCTTTATCCACAGAGAAATAAATGTCCTGGGGCAGTGTTTCCTTAGTTCAGCTTTACCCTGCCCTGGGAACAGGAGAGCACTGCCAGCCTTTCCCAGCCCCACGTGTGGCAGAGGGAAAGCAGCTCCAGCAGCCCCAGCAGCTCCAGCAGGTCCAGCAGCTCCAGCAGCTCCAGCAGCTCCAGCAGCTCCAGCAGCTCCAGCGGCTCNAAAGGGAAAGGGAAAGGGAAAGGGAAAGGGAAAGGGAAAGGGAAAGGGAAAGGGAAAGGGAAAGGGAAAGGAAGGGAAAAGGAAGGGAAAAGGAAGGGAAGAACAGGGCTGCAGTGCAAGCAGTGGGACAGATCCAAACCATTTGCTGAGAGGGAAGAGGTGCTCAGTGCCCACCCTCAGCACAGAACTCCAGCCAGGACTCATCCAGGAGACACAAACCCATGGTGCCTGTCCCAGCCCCATCTCCCAGCCCTGCAGGGCTCCCCTCACTGGGAACCAGAGCAACATTTCCAGCTGGGAATCTGCCCCTGAGCAGCACTGCCGTGAGCTGACACAACTTTCAGAGTTGTCACTTGTAAACCAACGCATAATCTGCTCATAGTAAGAAATTTTTCTTCCTTGAGGAGAGTGCTGGGCTGAGCAAGAGATGTGTAGCTTCCCCCAGATGGTCTAAGAACTGGCAGGCTGAAATGATATCTTTTGCATCTACAGGTATCATTATTATGGATTTACTGAGTCAGTTTTTCTGCAGGAAAATCAAGGAGTTCACAGACACTGTAGGATTTGCTCAAAGACGTGTTAGGAAATCCTCATGTATTTAAGACAAATATTTGAATTCACAGGAACATGAGTTATCCTGCTAAGTTGACTCAACACAGCATATTCTGCAAATTACAGACAGATTTGTTTCTTTCACGTTAAATTCAGCACTGTGCAGGCGATTTTCCCATCAGTAAATATCTAAATATTTTATAATTGACAGCATTTGTACTAATGGGCAGATAAGCAAGGCCAGGCACAGAACTCTGCAGTCAAACAAGGTCATTTTTCAGGCCATTAGCACAAACACCTTCATGACAGTTCCACTGAAATGAGATGTTTCTGTTTGTTGAGGCCCAGGTGGAGACCAGGGATTGCTGTCTGGGGGCTGCACCTCAAGCACTGAGGTGATCTGGGAGGAATCCACAGAGGAGTGGGGTGTCACAGGAGACACTGGAAACCCCCTTGGTGTTTGCAGTCCCATCCCAGCTCCACAGCCCTGGGACACCAGGGGACACCAGGGGACACCTGGGACACCAGGGGACACCAGGGGACACCAGGGAACACCAGGAGACACCAGGGGACCTGGGCACTGAGACCCAGCCGGGCACAGCAACCGTTCCACAACTCCCTGGCCCCACATCCAAGTGCAAGATCCACTCATGTGGGATGGGTCAAGTCCTCAAACTGGAATAGAGGCGGGCTGGATGGGATATTGGGCAGGAATTCCTCCCTGTGAGGGTGGGCAGGCCCTGGCACAGGTGCCCAGGGAAGCTGTGGCTGTCCCTGGATCCCTGGCAGTGCCCAAGGCCAGGCTGGATGGGTTTGGAGCAGTCTGGGATGGTGGGAGGTGTCCCTGCCTGGCTCTGCACCCTGTGCAAACAGCCCTGGGTGCACGGGGGGATGTTTGAGATGTGGCAGAGGGCCAGGTGTGAGGGGGAATATCTTCGGTGCCAATCAGGAGACAAGAAGTGTGAAATCAAGAGTCTGCAGCTAATTAGGACAGACTTTGTCCTTGCTCCTGCCTGATTTCACAAAGCCTACACGTTGCTCCTGTCTTCAGCCATCAAGACCAAAGCACCTCTTCACAAAACACTTGTCTCTCGAAATGAGTCTGAGCTTATTCTTCACTTGGGCAAAACACCAGACCTTGTACTTGCAGCCTTTTTATTGCCTCTGTGTACAGCCAATTATGTGCTACTTGTGAAGAGATTTGCCTTTAGTAATCTTAAAATTGTACAGTTTGTACTTGGAAAGGTCTAAATCTACATCAAGGACTCGTAATTTCAAGTTCTGAAATATTACAGGGACAATAAATAAATGTCATCCTTCATTTTCAAATTTCTCTGCACGAAAGGAACTGAGGTGAACTTGGGGAATCCAAAACTTTTGGTAAAACAAAAGAGGAAAGGAGGCAGGGCCAAATCTGAGTGCCAACATTGCAGTAAATTTATCTTGCCTGTCTCAGTGAAAGCAGGGGCTATTTAAAATCACAAATCAAGGGAGAATACCAACTCCTGCATTGTGCTGTGACCTGAACATCCAGCTCCAGGGCAAGGGAACAGCAAAACTGGACAGAATGCCCATCAGTGAACCCCAAAGCAGAGCTAAAACAGTTTTTTATTTAAAGCAGAATAGCTACAATTGCCTAAAATCAGTTTTCCTCTCAGGTTTGTTTAAGCTTACGGGGACACCAGGCTGTGCCACCTTCCCCAGCCACCAACCAAACGGGGTGGAAGATGCTGCTCTGGCTGCCCCTCTGTGCCCCCCTGCCAGCCCCAGAACTTCGTCAGGCTCTCAGCTCCCACCCTTCTCCTCTGTTGTTACTCAAATGAAACTCAACAGGTAAATAATTCCCCCCGTTCCCCAAGCACTATTCGACAGAGCTGCCCTGTTTAATGCTGGAAGAAGCCTAAAAAACAATTAAAAAACCAAGAATCCGTGTGTGCACAAACCTGCCCTCCCATAAATAAACCTACAGCTGGGTGGCTCCAGCTGCTGGGGTGTCATTCCTATCCCCCCAAAAAACCACAGATGTGTGCCCAGGAGGAGCTCTGAGCAACTTCATCCTGGCAAATCCACTTTGGAGAGCCCAGAAGTCAGCATTTAAAATCAGCTCAGGTAAATGCAATCGGCCAGTGTGACCCCACAGGGGATTCTTTGTGAAATCAAAGAAGCTCCCTTTGATTAAAATGAGAGGCAGCAGAACGAGGTGCACTGAGGATGTTACATCAGGAATAGACAAAGGGACAGTTGCATATTTCAGTGGTAAAAAGTTTTTACTAATGAGCAATTGTTCTTTTCTGCTACCTGCACTTAGATCAAAACACTTTTAACTAAGCAAGAGAAGTTGAAACTGAAATTATATCCAACTGAGAACAAGTACAAGTGGACTTGTGGGTGTAATAACAGTGCAAGCATTGTTTCCATCACTGATTCATGGAATTTAGCCTTATTGTGGAGGATCTGATATGTAATTTGATAAGTCTATCCTATTGTTATTGCCCAAAATCCATATATTTTTTTGTTCTTAAGACAAGTCTCTGTAAAATAGGAACCAAAACATGTCAAAGATAATAACTACTAAACCCTAAGTTTTAAATTGTAAGCTGGAAAAATGGGAATGACATTGGAAAAAAGCGAATTATCATAGGACAGTACATTTTCATCAAGAGATAAGAGTGTAGTTCTTTCTTTTTCAGAATTTCTATGAGTGGGTAATAAACAGGTACAAAATATATTGAAATTAAATCAGGCATACATGGAATTAGACAGGGCACACATAATGACCAAATATTCTTTTTTAAAAACCAATTAACCAAGCAGAGAAAACATGATGTTCTCCGAGTTTCACTTTCTTTTCTCATCTCATATTACTCTACTCGGTTTGGATTTGATTTCTGCCTTCTCTGATTGTTTATTTGGCAGCTGACACATCACTGTGACTTCTCCTTGTAAAGGGTTTTGTCTCTTGTGTTAAATTTCCTCCTTTGCTGGCTGACAGAAAAAGCTACAGCAGCTGCACTTCCTGTGCTCAGCTATTTCCAGAGGCAAACACAAAAATGAGACAAGGGAACATTTGCCCCCACCCTGCTCTCATAGCAAGAAGATTTTATATTATTTTATCCAGCCTCCAGTTGGTTTGATGGGAATTAGTCCCAGCCACTGCTCACTCTCAAAAGGAAAAGCTCCAAAAGATTCCAGAAAATTTTGCCTTGTGGCTTTGGCCTCTCTATTTTGGTGTTGTTAATTTGTATTAGCTCAAAGCATTTTGTACTTGTAAGGGTTAAAAGATAAATAACCCAATAATCCTTTAAAACTTCAAACACAGGCACTTAAAGCACCCAAGACCAAATAACAAATTTCAATAACAAATGACAATTTTTTTTTTGTTCAAGTAACAAAAAATATTCTAACAGGTATCTCAATTCTTTGTGATAGCACAAGCACAGTGAAAATCAATGCTCTCCCTCAAAATGGAACTCATTATTTCTCAGGCAGGGTGG